ACGCTAAATGTGGATGTCTGGACGATACCCATCAAGCTTTCGACGAAATGCCCGTTCAAAACATAGTAACCTGGAACGCCTTGGTTACCGCTTACGGCCAAAATGGACGTGCGAAGGACGCAATCAACTTGTTCGACGAAATGCTTCGCAAAGGAATCAAGCCAGATTCAGTCACTTTCCTCAGCATCCTCTCTGCTTGCAGCCACAACGGCTTCGTTGAGCAAGGGCTTCAATACTTCCACGCCATGAAAGAGCCGAGAAAGGAGCACTACGCCTGCGCGGTGGATATGCTGGGTCGTGTGGGGAGGTTTGATGAATTGGAGAGCTTGCTCCATCAGATGCCTTTTGATGCCGATGAAATCATATGGAATTCAGTTCTAAATTCCTGCCGGAAACACCGAAACGAAAAGCTGGCAGCAAAAGCCGCGGAGAAGCTGTTTGCTATGGAGCTCGGTGATGCCGCCCCTTACATAATAATGTCGAACATCTACTCTCAATCCGGGCGATGGAACGAAGCCGCCGGCGTGAAGAAAATGATGAGGGAGCGAGGAGTCAAAAAGGAGAAAGGATGTAGCTGGGTTGAGATTAAGGAGAAGATCTATGTTTTCACATCAGATGATGGGACGAATCCAAGGATTGGGGAAATTAGGGCGAAACTGAAGGAATTGGAAGTGGAGATGGAAAATAAAGGGTACAGACCTGATACGAGCTGCTCGTTGAGGAACGTCGGCGAGGAGGGGACGAAGGCGGAAGCGTTGAAGCGGCATAGTGAGCGGTTGGCGATAGGATTTGCGCTGATTAGCACGCCGGCGGGGTCGACGATTAGGGTTATGAAGAATTTGCGAGCTTGTGTTGATTGCCATGAGGCGATCAAGGTGATTTCGAAGATTGTGGAGAGGGAAATTATTGTGAGGGATAGTAGCCGGTTTCATCATTTTAAGAATGGGATTTGTTCTTGTGGTGATTATTGGTGAATGAGATGTTGGAAAGAATTTTTTTAGAGGCAATGAAATGTAATGTAAAAAATATATATTTGAAATATTTTAAATTATTTGAATGAATATAAAATAAATATAAATAATTATTTTTTATTAACTTAAAATAAAATATATTTAGTGTTAAATTAAATGATGACGATAATCTGGCCGTCATAGGCAGCGGCGACAATTAACAACGGCTTGTGGCGATGTCTAGTGGTGATCGACAAGAGTAGTGACGATATCAATGATATAATTTATAGTGTATTTGAAAATCAGTAAAATCTAATAATTTTCAAATACATGAAAATTGAACTAGATGATGAACTTTAAATATTTCAAAATTTTGCTTTGTTTTTTTTTTTTTAACTTTAAATCAAATATTAATATTTTTAAAATCGGGGCATTCAAAATGATTTGGACCCTTTTTTATTTCAAATTAAATAACCCCTTAGCAAAATAGAAATATTGAAAATGATAGTGAAGCATAATAATATTTTGAAGTTTTTAAAATTTCTTTATTGTTTTAGATATACTTGCTTAATTTAAAATAAAGAAAAGGTCATAAGGGAAGTAGTATACATTTATGGCCACGCAAGTTCTACCTCACCTAGGCAATAGCTGGTCTCAATGAACTTATGATTGGGAGAAATTATTAAGTGCGGTCACCGTATGTTGGTTCAGAGGTGAATCAGGATGCGTTACGAATACCATATTGCTCTGAATTGGTGTTGTGTATCGTTATGTACCAGAGTGATGTGGCGCATCCTAATTCATCTCTGGACCATCTGGTTATCGCACGTAATAATTTCTCCATAACTAAAGGGAAAAAATAAAGAAAAAGAATGTAGAAGTTCAATTCAATCATTGATTTTGCAATAAAAAAAAATGTTTTTTTTTTTTTTTGAATGGATATCTACCCGCTGCGACCTCAGCTTGTAAAGTGCTTGGCGGTGTGACTAATCCTCGACTGAGCTGGAAGAGGCACCCATTGGAATAACCTCCTGGCCCGCGCTTATTTGTGTCCCATTGAAGAAGCGCTACCACTGAGGGGAATTGAACACGAGTTGGAGGTATCCAACCGCACTCAACCACCAACCTTTTATCTGAAAGCATGAATAAGAGTTATGTACAAGATAGGCAGGTAACTTAAACTAATTTTCTTTAACCAGTATACATTTATGCCTATCCCAATCAATCTCTAAACAAGTTTGTTCTCAAATAGGTCATACAAGTTGAAGAGCTCCAATCCCTGTTCTTTAATAAATATGCATGCTTGTTATAAAATAACAACTCTGTTTAAAATTTAGGTTTTATTTGAGACAGCTTTCTCAATACTTCTTAAAGTAACTTTAGTACAAAAGTTAAAATTTTTTACTAAAAAACTGTTGTAAGAAGCAATAATTAAGCCGTTCCAAACAAACCCTTATTTTAAGGATGTTCATAAATTTTATACATATTTAAGTCTTATCATTTTCTGCAATTAATTTAATTGTCAATGAAGATACCATCTAAATAATATCAATTAATATAATCTTTTTTACATTTACTTTTTAGAAACACTTTGCATTTCACACATGTTTGTTCATTGCATCAAAGTCATTATCATAAGATGTACTCTATCATTCAATCATGCACACGAAAACATAAATCATTTTATTTATATTCTCCGTATCATTTTACACTGATATAAAATAAGCATTATGATGGTGAAATAGATGGGGATATTGTCAGTAGAATTCAAGTTGGATGGTTGAAGTGGAGGAATGCATCGGGTTTGTTATGTGATAGAAATGTACACCTTAAATTTAAGTGAAAATTCTATAAGATGGTAGTGAGGCCTGCAATGCT